TTAATGTGCAGGTCCAGCAGAAAGATGAAGGGGGGGCGTAGAAACCCAGTGATCCAAACACGCAGCCTGGGAATCAGCCACAAAAAAACACCTGGAATGACTCAGCATTAAATGGGCCCACAGAACACGGACCAGTTTAATCAGTTCATCCTTACTGGAGACATCATCATTGGTTTGGTTCAAACTGGAAAAGATTCAGCTGCTTCTCTACTGATCCAAAACTGAAAATGTTTGCTGGAGTGATATAAAGCGTAAAATGAAGCTTTCTGCGGGACTGATTTCTTCTTTCTGAGTTTTATCCCAGTGATTTTCCTTGTTATTCTTAACATCAGTATAAATATACTGAAACACATTTGATACTCAGATTTGGGGGAGTGATAGCCTAGTGGTTAGAGCAGTGCTCTGTGCTCTGAGAAAGTTGCAATTACCCAGTTCAATCCCCACAGACTGCCACTCTGGGTCCCTGAGCAAGACCCTTGACCCCACACTGTTATGTCTATGAAGCATCAGCAGATCCTTGTGGGCCTTTTGGTCGGATGAGGAGTCATGGTCAAAATCCATGACTCGATCATTACAAAACCCCGACCTGAAAGAACAACAGGACCAAACTGTTGAGTTCATCAACAGATTTCCTATGAGAGGAAATAAAGAATCCATCAGGGAATCAAGGCCAGAAGTCCTGGAACCAGAGAGTTCGTCGCTGTGCAGGAAATACAATATCTCCAGAGCTGATGGGTCTGCTGGGTTGGTATCAGATGAACATTTATAAATCAAATAATCAATCAAAGCCCAATAGATCTAGATTGAAGTGCTATCCTGCACATGAGGACACGCTATGACCAACTGACCAGACAAAGACCAACCTCTATGGTCTCCTTATGGGTTACTACGACAGTCCAGGATCCTTCATTTCTTCTTTACTTTTTTTAAGCTTTGGATCCAAAAAACCTCCCTTTAATACAACAAAGGAGCTCAGGAAATGTTTCCCTTGCCACAGTGAAGCATGGTGATGGCAGCATTATGCTGTTGGAGAGGCAGAGACAGATGTGGATCTACAGACTTAGAATGGCTGAATGTTAATCCATTCCAGATGTTTCCACCATGAACCAAGAATATTTCTACACTTTATCCTTAAATCCCAGTGGTTAAAGGTTGTTTCTGGGTGTTAAAACTTTCAGTAGATGTCAACAGAACCGAGCTTGACTGTCAGAAGTCATAAGACAGAGGATCACCATCATCATCATCATCTAGAGGCTCTGTAACATGAAGTGGGACTAAGTGCTCTCCTCCAGTCAGATAGAGCTGTGGTTAAGAATAGCAGCAGGAACATGAGGAAGTTTTCACGCCACCTCGGTCCAAACGGTCCAGGCCTCCTTCCGGAAGACCAAAGGACATTTGGATAAGACACAAACCTGACAGCTGCCCTGCAGGCTCTAAAATGTCACTGAGAAACAGGACAGGAAGCTCTGATTGTTTGCCCTGAAAGGACAGACGGTCAGAAAGAAGTACTCACACAGAGAAACAGGCTTTTACAGATGGAAGCCCAGAAAGAGAGGAAGTCCAAAGTGGATCTCTGGTTCTGGCTGGTTGCTGCTGTAGTGGCTGCAGATGAAACCTAAAGCACAGTCTGCCAGATCAGTGGCATGCTGGGTCCTGGATGGGACGGGCCGTCACTGGAGACACCACAGCCATAGCAGAGGACTCGCCAGGGCGCTAAATTTAGAAGGAGTCAGGCTTCAGCTCACAACACCTCTTCCAGTTCAGCAATCCTCCTGTCCAGAGCGCACAAAAAGTGAAGCTTGGCATCTAAAGCCTGAGCTCTGCTCCTCCTGGAGAGTCTCTGTGTCCTTCCTGTTCACTCAGAGCAGCTCAGTTTCACCATTTAGCCCTTAAATCACAACCATTCAGTCAATCACTATCTTTGATCCTTCATTCAACAATGCAGACAAGTTCAGTTTATTATTTAGATCAAAGCTCATGAATCCAGTCAGGGAATCTGCTGTTGACTCTGCAGCCCAGCATGCACGCAGTAACAGTAAGAGGAAAAACTTGCCCTTATGTAGTGTTGATGTCCCAATGCTGCTTCACAGCTGGAGCCATTTGATGATTTATCAGAGTTTATTAGAGGCCTTGGGAGAAAATGTTTTATGCAACAGGCGTGGAAGAGACGTGGAAATGCATTTAGACATCTTAAATATATATTCAGGCAAGCTAATAAATGTCAAAAGGGCCAATTAAAATCTGTAAAGATATCTAGGTATTTGAAAGTTGGATCTTACCAGTACAATTATATTTTTGGCAGCCTGAAATAAAATTTTTGCCAGCAAAAATGTATTTTAGGATATCTATATGCACATTTCTGACTAGAAGGGATGTAGTTTTGACTAGGAAGAATCTTATTTTTAAGGTCAACAAATGGAACAATAGAGAGGACAGCCAATTTATGCTTCTGACCCATGCAACCGTCAAATCTGGCTCTGCTGGCGACCACACCCCTGGAGCAGAGGTACTGCGACCATCATTGAACACTTCAAAAAACACCCTGAAAACGCGGCGGAGGGTCGCAGAAGTGTGCAGACAAAAAGCAGCTGTGATTGGTCCTTGGTATGACTTTCCGGCTGTCTTTGTGGTCATTCTTCATGATTCGGTGCCGTGGTGCGCCATTTTTAAAACTGAGGAACAATGGACAACTACTACGAAAGGTTAATCGAGGAGGTTCGGAAGTACAACCACTTGTACAATGCCTCAGACAAATTATATAAAGATGCCAAGGTCTCTGCCAAAACAAAGTTCTTGTGACCATCCACCGTAGTTCTTGCAAGTTCTGGAAAATGCTCCCCTTGCGCTTTGGCGGGAAACGGCTCTGCCTCCCTAGAAATTCCACACCGACGGTGCAGAAGCATACCAACAAAACTGGTTCACGACCAGACCCAAGCGACGTTTGATGTGTGCGGTTAAGGAAGTCTAATCTGCCCTTTCCTCTCCAGTCCAGCTGCACGCGTCGACGCACACACCCCTTTTTATTCACTAATTTAATCTACACCTAAAAACGTGCATACTAATACCCACCATCAGTTTAACCAGTGGAGATTGGAACTATTATCAATGAAACAACAAACAGTTTGTTACCTTTACACTTTAATGTATTTATACAGGGGGAAAAAAACGATCTATTTATATTAATGCATTCCCTCCCACAGTCCATCTGATTATAATGACTGATCCACATCTCTAACACTGTAATGATGCTGACCCAGATCAGCTAACGGCCCCGTTGTAAACGCAGTGATCAATTATATCCTTGTGAAAATAGTTTTATGGGTCCTCTATATCCTCCATGTCATCCATGTCCTCCGTGTTCTCCATGTCCTTCCCTCCATCTCTGAGTCATTAAGACTTGGACTTTTTTTTTTTTAGACTTACACTGATTTTATTGTCATTTTGTACACACAGAGTGTATACAAAAATAAATTTGGTTCAGTACAGCTCTCATTTCCATTTTTAAAGTGCAGCAGTGATAAAATATAAACATAAGACTGAGATATGATTTACAGCTTCCAACATCAAGTGCTCTTTTTTCCTCTCTTTAACCCCTTTTTTGATGGCGATGGAGAAGAAACTGCTGCAGAACCTGCTGGTCCTGCATTGAATGCTGTGAAGCCTCTTCCCAGAGGGCATCAGGGAGAACAGTCCATGGTGGGGGGGTGGGGGGTCATTGTAATGAAGACGTCTTCTGGGACTATTTTTATGTATATAGCTTTTTATGTAAATAGCTTGTAGCACTTTAAAGGGGCCTTTGCACTTTATTAAAAATCAGCTTGCTTAGCACTAGGACACTTTATTTAGCACTGCACTTTAAGCATAGATTTGCACATAAAGAACAGTTTGCACACAAGGTTTTTAACATATTTATTGAATATTTATTGAGTATTTTAATAGTTATCATGTAGCATTTTGTTCCAGGCTCTCCACAGCTGCTGCCCATTAGCATTGGGGTGGTTGTCTGTGGAAAAGAGAATTAATGTTTAGAGCAAGCAAGGGTTGCTGTTTAGAAACTTCAGCAAATGTTAGCGTAAAGTTTGTTAGAAGTGAGTGCAAAAGAAGTGTTGTGGTGCTGAGAAAGTGACTTACCTGTCTCTTCTGTGTCCTCTCCAGGGTGTTTGGACAAATGCTTCCCCGGGGGTCCAGACACCATTTAAAGGTTCTGGGAGAGACCATCGAAAATATAGGGGGAGTTGTGGGATTTCTATAGTGTTTAGGTGTAAGTTTGTAGATATTTGTTTTAAATGTCTGTTTTTTAGATGGAAGTGATGAGTTAATTTTTCTGTAAATGGTTTACTCCATCAGCTGTGTCTATTTAAGCTAGAGATTGTGTGTTTGATGGAGACTGAATGCTGTGAAGCCAAATAAACCTGCTGATGCCTCAACTTCACTCTGCCTGATAAGTTCATTTTCTCACTGAAAATCCACCCGAGAGGTCGCCTGCTAACAGTCATTGATTATATCAAGGGCTCGGGACACGCAGCGCTGGGATGAAATGTCTTTAATGGGGGGAAGAGGAGCCCCCATGATCCTCTCTGCTGTTCTCACCACTCTTCTCACCTTCTTCATCCTCTTCAGCTTCTCATACTACATTCTTCCATTTCTCCCTTTTTAAGTCTTTAACCTTCTCAGCCTCTAGATAAGCATGTTCACCAATCCTGGTTTACCCCCTTCCTGTGTCTAGGAAACCCGCCTTACCTTTGCAGATTACAGTTAGAATCATTCAGCTAATAACCATTAATTGGTTTTATACTCAATTTGAATAATCTATTATTTTACTATAACGTCCAGTTCCAGTTTAAAATATTATTAATCTGCTGGTAAAATTGCACAACATCATTGAGTTTTTATTAGTGACAACATATCTTATTGCTTAAAGTATCAGAGGAAGTCAGATTTGTTATTATTACAATTTTTTAAGTATCAGCAACATCAGCTCTTATTGGTTACTGGCTTCCATATATGGATAGGACCACATGGGCCCATGGGCCGGTGCCCATAATGCCCATTAGATAATATTAGCTGGGAGGGGTTATCATCTGGATGGACATGGTATGTTAAAAACAACGGAGATGCTATTTTTGGATTGCACGTTTACACATTCTTACAGGTGTGGAAATAATACATTGATTTTTGTTTTATTAGATAGATAGCGTGAGGATGAGCTGGCAGAGGTGCTGGGAAAATATGAACCTTCTAGGTAACATTAATCAGTTTTCTCTCCTTATGAATCCTAATGATGCCTCCTCTGTCATTGTGCTGCTGTTGTGTTTTATTTCGCAACAGAGGCTGCAGTGGACGGGACTTTAAATGAGTTCAGCAGCTGAGCTTCTCACAGAATATGAATCCTCAGAAGATTATGCAATGACCTGAAGGTCAGATACCTTTAGCTCGTTAGCCGTTACAGCAGATGGTGGGAATTATTATTGACTTTGTCCCAAGCTCTTTAGTAATGATTCCCAAAATAAAGATCATGACCCCATTTGGGGTCCTGATCAACCAGGAGGGGGTCCTCACAACCACCATAGAAATTCATCTTAACAATAATATTTATGCTAAAGTGTTTAAAGATCTAAAACATCACTTAGAAATTGAGCAAACCAACTACTGGGGTTTATAAGTGCTGTTTGTAATATTATTACACTACTGATTAATTGATTTTGTAGATACATTGATAAAGTAAACCAATTATCTGGGTCATGAGTCAACTCTAAGTTTAAATTCTATTCAGTTTATTTCTATAGCTCCAATTCATATCATCTCAGGTCACTTTATAGATCCAGGTCAACCAGATCATCCAGTCAGATTGGTTCAAAGTTTTCTACTGTATCTATCAATCCATCCATCCATCCATCCATCCATCCATCCATCCATCCATCCATCCATCCATCCTAACCAGATGCCCTAGCCTCCTCAACTGGCTCCTCTCGACATGGAGGAGCAGCGGCTCTACTCCGAGTCCCTCCCGGATGACCGAGCTTCTCACCCTATCTCTAAGGGAGAGCCCAGCCACCCTACGGAGGAAACCCATTTCGGCCGCTTGTATCCGTGATCTCGTTCTTTCGGTCATGACCCAGAGTTCATGACCATGGATGAGGGTAGGAACGTACATCGACGGGTAAATCGAGAGCTTTGCTTTTTGACTCAGCTCTCTCACCACGACGGACCGGTACAGCGCCCGCTTCACGGCAGACGCTGCACCAATCCGCCTGTCGATCTCCCGCTCCCTTCTTCCCTCATTCGTGAACAAGATCCCAAGATACTTAAACTCCTCCACTTGGGGCAGGACACCCCCCCTGACCCGGAGAAGGCACTCTACCCTTTTCCGGCTCAAGACCATGGCCTCGGATTTGGAGGCACTGATCCCCATCCCGGCCGCTTCACACTCGGCTGCGAACCGATCCAGCGAGAGCTGCAGATCGCGACCTGATGAAGCCAATAGGACCACATCATCTGCAAAAAGCAGAGACGCAATCCTAAGGCCACCAAAACGGATCCCCTCAACACCTTGGCTGCGCCTAGAAATTCTGTCCATGAAGGTAATGAAC